CCCCCACACTCCCCCACACACCCTCCCACATACACATATCCACACACACACCCGCACAGAGACGCTCCTCCCCCTACCTTCTTTCTTCCCGGAAGCCAGAGCTTCCCTGGCAACCAGCTGTCTCCTTAAGAGCCTAGTCTTAAGCAGCTTCTCCACAAGGACCCCCAAGCTCACAGAAACAACACAGAGGGGAAGTTGTGGTTCTGCCTAAGACCTGAGCCTGGGCCCAACCCTTTTTTGGAGCCCCAGTTTTGGGTATTTAGCTTCTTCCTCCTGCCCTAGCCCTTGATGACGAAAAAAGCATTCTCTGCACAGCCCCAAATGGTGGGGGTCTTCCGTGGGCTATCAAAGTCCATCAGATGACTGAGGAGTCATCGCATCCAGCCCCTCCCCCCCTTTCAGATGATAACACTGAGGTCCAGAGAGGTGTGGCCTGGCCACGGCCACCCAGTCAAGAAGCAGCCACACAATCCACCACCCTAGGTGAGGTTTCTGGGAGCTCAGAAGGCTGAAGGAGGGAACTGGAGGTAGAAGGCTGACCTAGCCAAGCCTGAATCCATCACCCACCTTCTCCCTCTCCTCCCCAAGAGCCAGGAGGGGGTCAGAGAACAGAGCTGCCAGGTCCCCTGCCATGGACAGGGCAGCATGGAGGCATCAGCAGTCAGGTGTCCTCGTGGGGAATGAGAAAGACAGACATGTACATGTCCCTCTCCTATTTCACACCCCAGCCTCTGTGGGAAACCACAGGTTTGGGCATGACAGGCTGGGCTGGGGTGGGGTGGAGGGAGGGAGAGGGACTCCACAAACATCTTTCCCTGTGGGCTGGAATTCAAGGACTGACCTATCATTCTTCCTCAGCTGATGGCCACAGATGCTGACGAGGGCGAGTTTGGACTTGTATGGTACCGCATCCTTAATGGTGAGTGGGTTGTCCTAGGATTGCTGGGGCTGGCCCTTCCACCCTTGGCAGAGCTTCTCTAGGCTACCAGGGGTCTGGGAGGTGAGGCCAAGGAAGCCGTAAGTACAATACACATGGGCAGGCCAGAGTGAGGACCAGGGACATTGTCCAGCCATTTGCACCAAGTTGGATGTGAGGGTGCTGCGTTTGACTGCTTTGCTCCTAAAGCTCCAGAGGGGGTCTTGAGGACCAGGACAGCCTTCAGCAGCAAGCACCCCAGAGATTGAGTGTCATTGGGTCAACACATATCATGTGTCCATCCTTTAACCAATTGCTATTGCATTGGACACTAGGGCAATGCCCTCAGCTCCTCAGAATGAGTCACAAAGCACATGGACTGAGAGTGAGGGAGGGCGGATCCCCGGAGGAAAATTGGTGCTGTTACCACAAGACATGGGAATGGGCACTGGACCAGCCCGGATATGTCCACCAAGTCCTGGCTTCAACCACCCACAGAGAATTCTGTTTTGGTTCCTCTTTCTGTGGTGCCCAGATCCCTCTGAAATATTGAATCCACTGACACTTCTGGGTATGGGGGTCTCAGGGGTCCCCAGGCTTCCCATAAGGAAGGTACAGAGTAAACTTCTACCCCTCCCTCCAATCCTGCCAGGCCAGGGCAGCATGAGACAGAGGCCTGCTTGCCATTGTAGGCTTCAGCCAAGCTCCTGAGACCTGTGGGGAGGATCAGCATTCGGCAAGGGGGGGCTGGGGCCCCCTTCTTTACCCCTACAATCCCATGAGGATCCTGCTCTAGGACAGAGCTCACGCATCTCATCTGTCTCTCCACACAGGTAACGACGGCAAGAACTTCCATATCCATGTCAGCGATGGGCTCCTGATGCGAGGGCCCAAGCCCCTGGACCGGGAGCAGGCCTCGTCCCACGTGCTGATAGTGGAGGCCTATAACCACGACCTGGGCCCCATGCGGAGCTCCGTCAGGGTGAGGCTGGGGGGCTCTCAGATAGCCAGTGAGCAGGTCTCAAAGCCCCACGTCTCCTTCCACACTGACCTCAGGGCTGGGCCAAGGCCATAGCTGGGCTGGAGATGGCCACTAGTTGGGGCCTGGCAGGGCAAGGCTGCTAATGATTTAGGGTCTGAATGACACCTGGTGCTAGGGGTACCCAGCCTGGGATCTTGGATGTGGCATTTTGCTCTGAGCCTCAGTTTCTCCAGATGTGGAAGGGGGTCAGTGATGGGATGAAAGAGGTGTCCTTACCATACTAACTCCCTATGTCCATGCAGCGCTCTAGCGTGAGCCAAGGAAACCTCACATGTTTGACCTTAGAGATGTAGATGCTGCCAGCTTCATTTTAGAAACAAAAGAACTGAGGCACAGAAAAGCATTAGTGATGGACTTCAGAGCCCATATCCTTTGAGTCCAAGTTCAGTGCTCTTTCCACTGAGAGTGTCCCCAAATACCCCAGTGACTACTTCCATTCTTTTCTGCCCACCCTCACTCACCTCAGGCCTCTCCCTTAGGCAGCTAAAATCAAATCACCTTCATCTTCCTGAATAGTCAAAAATAAACACACAGATATTCCCACTGGCTGGGCCAGTTTATGCCCTCTCCTGCCCCTCCCTCCAGTCCTGCCAGGCCGGGGCAGCATGAGACAGAGGTCTGCTTGCCATTGTGGGCTTCAGTCAAGCTCCTGAGACCTTGGGCAGGATCAGCATTCAGGAAGGGGGTGCAGGAGATGACTGACAGGACCTCTCAGGGTCACCCTACCCTCCCCCCTCTGCACACTCAGCAGCTCACAGCCCTTCCCCTGAGCCAAGTGGAAAGTGAGTCAGACCCCAGAGGTGAAGAGTAGGAGGGAGATGGGAAAAGTCAGGTGGAGGGACTTTTACCCAGAACTGAGCGGAGCAGAATGGCTCTCCTTATCAGCCCATCTCCAGCGCTATTTCCCCAGGCTGGAAACAATGAGCAGAGGCCTGCGTGGGGTCACGTCACTCCCTCGGCAGTGCTGGAAAGCAGGTGACTCAGCCTCGGCCTGTCTCCTGCCTTGGAAACTCAGCCCCTGGAAGAGATGGAAGGGAAACCTGGGTCCCTATGGCTGCCCCTCCCAGTGAGATCTGTCCGGGGGAGAGGGGGGAGATGGCTGAGTTGGGCAGACCCCTTGCGTTGTTACACCTTGGGGCTTCTTGGAACAGTCCCTGAGCCCTGGTGACTGAAGGTGAAACACAGTTACCTTAATATGCTCTCGGGCAATCCCACATGGCCACATACTCACCTGCATGACTGTGAATTGCCTGTTCACATGATCAACACACGTCAGAGCCTGCCCTTTGTGAGGCCCACTTCAGG